CGTTAGTCCTAGGAATATGCTACCACCATGCTGCTTCACTGCAGTGAAGGTAACCAGGAAACTGCCACGTTAAATGGCTATTCATTCTATTAAAAAAACTTTTATTGAGATTTTTATGGCTGACCCCGCGATACCAGTTACGCAATAAATAAATAAATAAAAAAACAAGGAACCAGTTGAGGGTTAAGAAGGGCTCCAAATCTTTCACTTGGTTTTTTCATACGTGAAATCTGGCCTCCCTCCCCAAATGGTTGGTGGTAGCATATTCCTATGGCTAACCCTGACATAGCGATAATTGCCAAATAAGATTAATTGCAAAAGTAGCCACATATGTAAATGCGCCTGAAGCCGCACGTTGTGAAAATGCAAGAGAAGGCATTCCCCATAACCTAGTGTATCTGTCGTATTTGACCTTCCTTATGTCGAACATGCTTTTCCATAAAATCAGACATACGCCACAGTGACACATTAGACTTTTCTTTTGTCGCATTTGACGCTCTCAAGCAGCACAGCGACACATTTGAATTTCCTTATCGCATTTGACTTTCTTGTCACCAAATTTGACCTATAAAACCTAAAATGGCAAAATCAATGTGGAGCGAGAGGAGTTGAAAGAATTGCAAACTCAATTTGCCAAGCTGTATTATTTACTGTCGTGGTGAAAATGTGGATCGTGTTACCTCAGGCCAGAACGATGATACACCTCGGGTGTCTCATCGTCCAAAAGTGTCTCAGACGTGTAGAGGTCTCTGTCCTTGCTCATCTCTAACGACGGTCCAGATGCTTTTTGTCAGAAATTAGCAGCTTTTAATTGCTTTACGGTAATTGCTATTCGAAATATTTAAGTATTATTGTAACGTGCTGTGATGGGATGGTTTTCCATAATTGTCATTTCTTATTGTTCACTCCCGCACGATCTTGACCGATAGATCGTTGTTCGATTTCATCAGCATAAATGTTAATCCATAATCAGTTCAAGTCAACTGACTTAAAAGTCGAATGTCACGCACATTGAATGCACAATTTTCGCATGGGCGTAATGTCGATTGTTACAATACTGAACGCGTGAAAACGCGTGAAAACGTGGAATCGTCAGGATGTCGACATCCAAATGAGCTCTGGGCTATCCCGTTCCTTGGGTCTTGATATAACGAAGGAGAGCAGATTTCTTCTTAACCCTTGGGGCATCCAAGATTGTGTTGTCTACCGATCGCCTGTCTGCGTCGGGCATGGTGGTTTTTATTACGTCGGTAACAAACGCGCTGACGTGCAAATCCTTCAGTCGAGATGGGCCATTAATCATGACCAACATGCAGTACGTGCATTCTCAGAAGGGTGGCAAAATGTTGGTCGCGCATGGGTATTTATTCATTCGTGAATGGTGCAGGAAGGAGAGCGTGCATTGGAGGTGCGAACGCAGTCCCATGCATTGGAGGTGCCTGAACCGCAGTCGCCATGGCATTGGAGGTGCCCGAATCGCAGTCGCCATGCACGAGTCAGTGTCCCGAAACGGCGAACCGATAAAAAAAGAAAAAAAAAAAGAACCGCCTTTTGTGCGGGGCAGCCAAGGACCTGATCGCTCCGACATCGAGAGCGAAAATTCGACAATCGGACTGTCGCCATGTGGGATTTCATCTTTTTTTTTCGGGTGATGATACAACTTTCTTAGAAGACTGGACTACCGTTTTAAAATATCGAGATGGTAACAGATAAAATCACATAACACAGATAAAATCTAATAGAAAACTATGAAGGTCAACATGCTTCCGAATCACAGGAAAAATTTAATTGAACTGCGAGATCTATTAAGTCACTTCCAGTCGCATTGATCGGCCAAGTATTTACCATTCCAAGTATTTACCATTCCAAGTATTTACCATTCCAAGTATTTACCATTCCAAGTTACTTCGCTTTGCGGTACTTGCCCTCGAGGAAAGTAATTCAAGTCTTTCTAAGAAAAAGTATATATTATCGGAGAATATTCGCGATTCTCCCTAAATTAGTCGATGGGAGACGATAACCTGAACCCATTCATTCCATCCTTACGTAATTTTTTTGTTTTGTTAGCGAAAACGGCCGCACTAAGCCGCTGGATTTTCTCCCGGTAACTCCCCAGCGGTCCGAAATGTCTACATTTTCACTTCCCATAGGAAAACGTTCATATTCCTTTGCAAACATTGGGTTTGGTCCTCGCCTGATGCTTATACTTACTTCCGATCCGTTTTTCTCTGCTCGCGGAGGAAACTTCAGCGTGACGGCCGAAACGTGAATATATTGCTTTCGTATATGCTGCTGCACGCTTCAGTAAAAGCTAGCTCATTATTAAAATTATTCCGCTTGGTGGAATTTCTCCAGACGAGAAATTCCACCAGGGAAAATGGGAAGCAAGACTTTTACACTACTGAATTTAGATCTCAATTTGGACGTCCCGGTCCCGGTCCCGGTCCCGGTCCCGGTCCCGGTCCCGATCACGGTCCCGGTCCCGATCACGGTCACCCTTAGAATCTCCTTGTCCCCGTGGCTATAGAATGTAAGAAAAAAAGGTAGTACTCTTGACAACAGTTGATGATACAAATGTTGATACGAGAACTTGACTTCAAAAAGTTCCGTACACCAAGATGCAGCAACCTTGGCAAACCCCGTCTTTCGATAATCCGGCAGTTCGAGGAACGTAAACTTTCGTGTCTCGTGAAAACGTCCGCTCGGGCGCAGGTGCCATCCTCCGCGGCATTCTCTTCGGCGTCCACGTCGATTCCGGTCGTCATTGCGGTTCAGTTCTTCACAGGGGGGGACGTCGGGCATTGTTGCTCGATTTGTTGCGCCTGTGAAGCCTTTGCTTTTTTTCTCTGATGCCTGCGAACGCGACGGTGGACCTTGACCCTGAGAGGACGCCATGGTGCCCTCTCGGGCTGCAAAGAAGAATCGAATTGCAAAAGAACCGACGAATATCGCAGCATCGAGGACCCTGGATGATTCAGCATGCACCACGAATGAGAAGTCGTCATTTGGCAATTCAGCAAAGGAGGTCCGCAAATTGCAGGATGTGGCGGACAACCAATGGGGACAACGTTCGCCAACTTCTTTTTGAATTCAGCTATGCAATGTAAGTTTTTGCGGACAAGATGGTAAATGGAACCTCCTTGTTTTTTTTTTTTTACAGTTGATAAAATCAATACGAAATCAATGTCTTCTTTTTTTTTTATAGCCCACCATTTCGGATTTGGAACTTTAATCAATTTCAGCTCCATTTCGCAGGCTGTCCGAGACACTACGAAAGACTGGAATTCCATCGCTCGCCAGGTCCTCCTAGATACACATTCTTTGCAGCGTAATATGCTCAAAAGGAGCAAATTATACTATTTCTGGAGCATAATTTTTGGACGTGAAGGTCGGTGGGAGGTAGAACCGTGCCATAACAGCAGCTGAAAAGCGGCCATCGGAGGTCGGCCTGACCGTGGGCCTATGGCAACTTCAAGACAATTGCCCAACCTTTTCCCGCCTATGCTCATGGGGGACCGATGGCCCGAAGGTGTACACAAGGGCCGACGAAAACGTAGGTGTTAGCCCAACTCTACTTCCTCTTTTCACTCGACCTGACAAAGAAAACAAAGGACCAGGATGATGGATGGTCCGGCACGAACTATTTTTTTTTTTTGCCGACATGCCGAAGTTGGGTGCAACGTCGGCCTTTGTCCAATGTCGGCCCTATCCCAGAAAGCTTCACTCGCGCGACTTGTTGAAGAAGAGAAGGAAGTCATCGTGCCGGATTTCCCCGAAAATGCAAGAAGTTTTGTGCCTAGCTGTCCTTCGTGCAGGAACGGAGGAAAAAGTGGAATGAATAGTTCGGGAAATTTCTGCTACAAGAATGCAAACTAGTTCTACCGCTACAAGCACGAATGCCTTTCTAAGCGGGAGGATAAGCTTATCGGCAGAGCTATTGAGAGAAAGTATTAAACAAAATGTACTCTGACTGATATGCCCATGCGTTGAATTGATGTAAGGTGAGGAACTGAGATTTCCTGAAATTTCGAACCTAAACCCCTATGCATTCTGGAATTTTCAGCTAATCACCGACAGTTAGCGGAAAGAATCTTTGTCTTTGAATGTGAACTTGCACCAGAGGAAAGTGCATGGCTTCGCCGTTGCTGCATAACTCTGGAATTTTCTGTCAAAGAAGACGTATATTAATAAATATTAAAAAAAAGAGAATACTACGACTCTGCGCAGGTTTTCAGCTCTTAAATGAACTCGGAAGGTGGATCAAAAGGCAAGATTTCTTTTTTTTTTTTAATTGAAACAGATGGTGAAAGTGATCGGATGAATTACGTCCAATAGACTAGAGATGGAAGTGAAGGTGGCACGAAGGATATGCATGATATCATCACGGCATCAGTGTTTCTATACCCAGAGGAATCTGGATGAGCAAGTCCATACCGGGTCCTCATCGGTGCCGGAACCGAGCTGCATATTTTCGTGCCTTTTTGAGATGACTGCGAAGAAAGTTCCCCCTTCCCTGTCACTCGAAACTCTCTCGATCGCCCCTTCTCCTCCTGCACTGGTATAAAAGGATTCCGCACTCCGGTTGTGACAGCGGAGTTCCGAAAGTGATCCGATCACACGAAGACCGACCAGGTGGTGCACCATGAACGCCCTCCACTTCTTCCTTGTGAGTTGCTCTCACATGATATCCCTCTTGGAGCCTTCCACGTCTTGTTACCTTTAATAAGCCTTTGAGAGAAGCAGAGCAGACAATTTTTTTTTATCAACGTCTCCTCGGAACTGTGGTGGAGATCCCATACGTTGATCGAGGGCCTCGCTTAGTTGACTTCTCGAGATTCCACAGGATCTTGAGCTGAATTTAAGTCATCGTTGTCTTAACAATGTGCTCTTACAGACTAAAGCTATTAAAGTTTTGAAGAGTATGATTTTATAAGGTTTTATGGCCATGGTGACATGCGATTTTACGAGTCCCGCAGTTGATCAGTGTAATTGATAGTTGAATGCCGGTGTTAATTTTTTCAGTGTGGATCTGTTCTACTGGCTGCAGTGGCAGCGTATCCTTCAGAGAAGGAAGATGAAGGGATCCCTCTGGTAGTCGAAGCGGCAGAAGCGAATTCTCTTTACGATGAGGAAGGAAAGGCTATCGTGAAACGAGGAGGCGGAGGCGGAGGCGGCTGTGGCGGAGGTGGCGGATACGGCGGAGGTTATGGCGGCGGCTGCGGCGGCGGCGGCGGGAAGGGCAAGGGTGGTGGTTATGGCTATGGTCCCGACATCCATCACTACCATGTGAAGGCCATGCCTTTCGTCGTATACAAACACGTGCCTCATCCTGTGATCAAACCTGTCTACTATCCGATCATCAAGCCCATCTACAAGCATATCTACGTCCCTGTGAAGTCACACTACGGCAAGGGAGGCGGAGGTGGCTATGGCGGTGGTGGTGGCCACAGCAGCGGAGGAGGCTATGGCGGTGGAGGTGGCCACAGCAGTGGAGGTGGCTATGGCGGTGGTGGTGGCCACAGCAGCGGAGGAGGCTACGGTGGAGGAGGTGGCTACGGTGGCAGCAGCTACGGGTCCGGTTTCAGCAGCAGCGGCGGAGGTTATGGAGGTGGAGGCATTGGAGGATACCGCTGAAAAGCTCACCTTAAACCAAAGAAATGCAAGTTTATGAAATTTTTTCCGTAGCGTAATTCGAGGGTTCTCTCTGTCCAATAAAATTAAAAACGAAGAAAGAAACTACGCAGCAGCATTCATTCCGACCCTTTGCTGATCTTGACAATGCTTCAAATTTCATTTCAAATTTTCATTTGGGATGCTCCTCACCCTCGTGAACGCTGCAACCGGATGCATAATATGCGTCTTCGCGCACATCTTCTTTCTCAACACAAGTTGTCATAGTATTTTAAGTGCACTTTTGGGTTGCATGAGACCCAGCGGGGTCTCGTTAAAAATAGCATTAAACATTGGGAAAATTTAGAAATTTTTTCATGCGACCCACTCCAGATTGACCGAAGTATCTATCATCACCTCAAAAACTTTGGGGACTACTGGTCTAGAGATTATTGAAATTGGCGAGTAACTGCCCATTCGTCCCCTTGACTTTTCAGAAATCGAGAGCGGACCGTATAAATAGCTCATAGCTCTAAATTACTTTTTTTTTTCACGCAGGAGTTCCCGCGAAGCGGAAGAAGGAGCAAGAGCAGCGGGAGTTCTCCATATCTGGCTGGAACACGATGCAAGACGTTGTACTCTGGTCTCTTTCTTGCGGAGGCACTCGGGGCTGTTTTCCCTCACGCACTACGCTTCCACTGCTCTGTCGAAGGCTCTTCCTCTTCAAAGGGTGGTCGCTTCTGACTTCACGCTTCGTAGTACTTGTGTTGCATTGTTGTTCGGTCGAATGTTATGAAGTTGCTCCCCGTCTCTTGAATAAACGAGAAAAAAGAAATGGAAAAATGTCGACGTCTTTAGACGGGTCCGATGACGCATATCCTCCCCGGAAGCGGGTGGCACTGCTGGCTTCATAGGACCTCTTCTATATGCAATCCCATCCATCCCATGCCTGATCCCCATCTACTTGCCTTCTTCATCGTGCACACATTTCACATTGGACATTCCAAGGACCTACATTCGAGGATTTTATTTTACGAGATCCTTGAAGTCGCTCCGGTCATTTTTCATCGCCGCCAAAAGGTGGGGTAAAGGAGAAGACGAGAGAAAAGAGGGCGGGTCCCAGAAAACCTGCAAGATTTCTGCTTACGTGGTCTCAAGGTCCTTTCAGTTCTATCGTCTAAGGAAGTGCCAGTGATTACATTCGCTCCAGGCAATGTCAAGGTCCCCCGCGGGACCACTCGAAGGGCCACGAGGGTCTACGTGACTTACTCCTCGTTCTCGCTTTTTTTTTTTACGCGTGTGCAATGATGAATTCGAACGAGCTGGGTCTCCTCTCGCGTCCGGATGGAGTAGGAAAGTAACGATTCCTACGATAAGCATCTCGTTGTGCAGAAGAAAAAATTGATCACACGAGAAAAGGAATCGAGGACACGAGGAAGTCCTGCATGAGAATCAGTCTAACCGAAGCTTGTGTTTCATGGTCTACAGTTTCTTTGTCAATGTATGGACCAATTTGATACCTGCCTCATTATGCACGACACGAGTTTTTGGGATCTATACCAGCGAATAACAAGTTTCTTATTTACAATACTTGGTTAATGGGTTTCTTACACGGACATTCCTTTAATAAATTGAATGTTCCCTTCAAAAGTCTCACTACTGCGTGTTATTTTGGCAGCGGGTCCCACAGACCTGACCTATGCAAATATGCATAAATTCTGTCATGGTCAAGGTCATGATCAAGGTCAAGGTAATCAGGAACTTTTCAATCGATAGCAGGAGCATAAAGACTCCCCTAATTTTCGGGGCTCGCGAATGGGCAGTCAGAGGCGACGCGGCCAGCAAACGGAGTTCCCGCTCTCTTCGGGTTCGGCTCTCGATTGAATCTCAGTTGAGTTATTGGCTTTCCATCGTGCCCTATGTAATTAATGGCTCGGCAGACCCGGCACCCAGAAGGATACCTTTCCGACTGCAGCTCTCGTTGTGCGCTGCGAATATGGTATCGAGCAATTTATCGCAGAAGTTCACGAAAAGGACTGCTTTCACAAAGCTGAATTTCCTGTAGAGGACTGACCTCTCCAGGCAGAATTTTCTGCAAAGAATTCATCTCGTCGAGGATCGATGAATGAACTCGTGCGCATGATTGATGTCGAGATTTGATCTTCGTATCGTCGTGAAGAAAGGAGTCGCCTTCTACGCGTTTCTATTCGATTAAGATAACCCTCTCAGACCTGAATGAAGGCCACTATCGGAATAATATATGCCATTGGCTTCGGCTTGGATCGGTGTGTCAATACCGGCAGAAATGCCTCGTGGCGTCCCTGCCCAAACCTTGGGCCTTGAACCGTGGACATGGCGGGAGGACAAGGGTAAGAGAAAAGCCCACGCTGTCAGCACTCCTTCCATATCTAGACAGCCTCTGTGGCAAAAGATAGAGAGAGGGAGAGAGAGGACCCCTGCATTTGCATGAATGAATTCATCCTCCCCTATCGCCTCTCCATCGCATTCCCTCTTATCCTTTCCCGTTCGTCCTTCGACAAGGACCCATCCCGACCCCTCGGCTTGCAACCGCAGCCGCGACCTGCATCGGTCGGTATCGACGCATCGAACCAAGTCCAAACGAACGGACGTTGTGTCGAATGTGGCAAAAGCGGACGCCGATGCACCGAAGGATCCATCGAGCGACCGGTCGAAAGGTTCAACACGGCGAAAGCGACCGCTTTTATCTTCTAGCCGTTTGCCCCTGCTAAACCCCCCTCAGCTGTGTGTTGCCGCGTTTGAACCGCTCAATCGATGTAATTTTTAATTGCAGTAAAAATAATAAATAAAAACTTGCTGAAGTACCGGGTGCTGTCTGGGGAAATTCAATATTTCAATATTTCAATATTTCATGAATGATCAATTGGGGAACGTTAGCGTTATGGTTTCCTATAAGTTACCGATCTTGGGTGTCGCAAAATGCCTTTCCCTTTTTTTTAGCTTTATTTTATTTTATTATTATTATTATTTTTTTTTTTGGGGGGGGGGG